TCTTTACTAGGAGCGATATTAGATATCTGGTTCTTTTCCTCAGGAATAAATAACACTTTTATGCCTTCAATTTAAACCTAAAATGGAAAGGGAATCACAATTTTTAAACATAAAAGTCATATTTTAAATGTTCATTGAAAATCTTTTGCATGCCGTTCCTCTTCTGCTTTTGTTTTCTTTTAGTAACTATTAAGCTTACTCTGGTATCCGTTTTCAAAAGAAATTGCTGACTCAGAAGCTGAGTTTATGTTGGTCTGTGGTGGTTGTTTAATCTACTCTGTTTATTCATGGGTAAGAAAAATGATCACCTAAGATAAACAACTGTTCAATGTCTCACAGCAGGTTGGTGCTCAAACTGAGATTTAAAATAAAGTCCTTAAACATAGCCCAGGCTTCCCTACAGTGACCATGTCACCTGTCCCAGGAGGGAAAATACAGTTCAGGAGAATTCTTTGCCACAGATTTACAGTGAAATACCATATTAGTGATTGCTGTTGGAATCTAAGTTTAATGAAGCCTTCTGGGAGTCCAGAGTCCAAAATATAAGTGTGTAGGTACGTCCACCACTATATTAAGGTAAAAACATCCTAGGAAAAACATAGCAAAACATCCTGGCTGTGGATTTAGATCATCAAGCAGTTGTAGGGGAGAAAAGCAGTATCTTTTCCTCATCTGTAGCTAGGTCCAAGGCTGAAACCCCCATAACAAAAGAAAAGCTAACAAGAGAAAGACATGCAAGTTCAGTACAAGATGTATGTGACACAGGAGTCTTCAGAAATTAAAACCCAAAGAAGCAGAGAAAGCTGTGTGTTTTAATTCCTAAATTGAATGAAGACTGGACAGTTGATATGGTTTGGCTGTGTCCCCACCCAAATCCCATCATAAATTGTAGCCCCCATAATCCCTACTGTGTCATGGGAGGGAGCCAGTGGGAGGTAATTGAATCATGGAGGTGGGTTTTTCCTGTGCTGTTCTCCTGATAGTAAACAAGTCTTATGAGATCTTATGGTTTTATAAAGGGCAGTTCCCCTGCCCACGCTCTTTTGCCTGCCACCATGGAAGACATATGTTTGCTCCTCCTTCACCTTCTTCCATGATTGTGAGGGAATGTGGAACTGTGAGTTCCAGCTATGTGGAACTGTGAGTCCGTTAAACCTCTTTCCCTTATAAATTACTCAATTGTGGGTATTTCTTCATAGCAGTATGAAAAATGGACTAGTAAAATAGCCATGTGAAAGGATGATTGAATGAAAGAGGGCATGATCTAATGGTAATAAGCTGGGGGGACATAAGCAAGGTCTGTTCAAATTCTTCTTGGTGTCCCTATGTCTTTCTTTCTTTCTTTTTGGTATAGAAAGTATCCCTTTGGAATGAGGGCTTTCTGGCCTACTTTAAAGGAAGGTCAGATAATTATTTTATGACCTGCTTCTGGGAAGAATGGTGAGAGAAAGTCAGAGAGACCTTCCTATTTAAGCTGTCTTCTCAAATGCCAAAGTGCTACATTTTGGGGTACATGTACTGAACCCTGTCACAGTGTTCCTTTTATATTTAAAAAAGAACACAATTGTGAAAATGAAATAAGCAGTTGTGTCTGTTTTTGATATATATATATATATTTTTTAAAGACAGGGTCTCACTCTGTTGCCTAGTCTGGAGTGCAGTGGCGTGATCATAGCTTACTGCAACCTCAAACTCCTGGGCTCAAGCTATCCTCCTGCCTCAGCCTCCCAAGTAGCTGGAGACAACAGTCACATTCCAACATGCTCCGCTAAGTTTTTGTATTTTTAATAGAGACAGTGTCTTGCTATGCTGCCCAGGCTGGTCTTGAACTCCTGGGCCTGGGCAATATTCTCACCTCAGTCTCACAAAGTTCTGGGATTATAAGTGTGTGCCATTGCACCTGGCCTATGTATGTTTTTATTATCAAATTCTCTAACTTTTGTCTCCAAAAGTATAGATGATTATGCTATTCTGCCACATGTGTCATTGAAGCGCACACCATATGTGGGAATAAAAATGTAAGTGATTATTTCTTGAATAGAGGCTAAGCATTTGTGGTTTCAGGTGGAGGGTCAAATTCACAGGCCTCTGATTTCCAGGGAAATGATTGTTTCTTTTGCTGGTAAATTATCTCACCTACCTTGTGCTTTATATAAATTTATGCTTGTATACCAATATTTTAAGTGTAATAAAATATTCAGACTTTTAATGAATAAGATAATTGTAGTCCAGATCATCTTTTTCTTTGGCATTTGGGATGGAATGGTTTATATGATGAACTTTCTAATGCTAATTCTAAATGAATCATCTACTTCTTTTCTCCCAGCTAAGCCTTTTAATGTATTAAATATAAATATTCTCCATCAATTTTGATATTGTACTGTAATTAATACTTGATCATTTTTCTTTTTCAGAAAAGAAAACTCACAGCAGTATAGTTTGAAAAAAAAGTTATTTTCAATCACATATGTGTGCTTGGTTTTGTTCCAATCTGACCACTTTAAAAATATTAATGTCTTTCACATAAAATACTGGCTTTGCCTGTGTCTCATATATTATTCCTTGTCTGAAAGGTGTAATCATTAGAAGGCCATTACTCTCCCCCATGAAGTAAATTAGGGTCTTTTTATTTCCTTTTTCTTTATTTGGCTCTATTTATTACTTAACTAGTGTGACAAATGTGGCTTAAAATAAAGATGGTGCTATTATTAATGAAAAACCTGTGGCTGCAGCAGCTGTGATAAAGAAATGTCACAGAGCACTGATTTTCTTCTTGATTTGGTGAAGTGGTCATTGGGAAAAAGTTGTAATAAACAGAATAATGGAATGGCTAATGTTTTAGTGGAATGGGATTTTACTATGATTTGCTAAAAAGATATACATTAATACACAATCAATTGATTAGAACTCACAAAACACAGTAGTTGTCAGGCATCAAATTATATTTCTCCTACTAGTCACTGTGAGCAAATCAAGATTTTAAACACAATACAGATCAATTGGCAAACACACTTTACAAAATTAATAGTTACTTAGATTAAAACAGCAGTTAGAAAATGACCAAAAAAGTAACAAGACCATGAAAAGAGCTTTGTGTCTTTGTAACACTGCAAATTTGGAGCGGCTTCAGTAGCTTCCTTAATTATAAACTTGACTAAAATGTTACATATTATGATTTTCAGAATGTTATCATATACTACTGAGTTAAAAGCAAAAAATATATGATTCATAACAAGATTTTATTATTTGTTTCATTAAAGTTATTGGTCATCTAGATGTATTGTTTTTAATAGTTGTAGGGAAAAAGCTGTGATGTAAGTGTGCCCCCAAGTGGCTAGAGATTAGTTGTAAGAACATCAGAAGGCATTAATGGAAATAGGACTTCAATTGGTTATATTAATATTATCTTGTTAACCTTTACTTCATCCCGAGCAGAGAGTTGTTTTCCTATTTTAAAGGTTTTCTAAGATAGAGGATTCTCAGTTTCTTCCATAATTCTTACAAGCATTTTATTTTTAGTACTCATACATTTTAACTAATGGGTCTGCTTCTAATTCTGAAGTGTATAATATAGTAAAGACACATAAATCATCATAAAAGATGTATTTTTTCTCATGTCTAAAGTGTTTGGTTGAGTCAAGTTTAAGTCATTCTCTGCAAGTGTTTAAAAACACATTTTGTAATTGAATAGGATGGTATCTGGTAGGAAATTTGTATTACGACAGGCCTATGGCCTGAGAAAATAGTTTGCCTATTTATGTGATATTTTAATAAGACTAATATTAAGTCTATTATTAAGAGTATTATTTGTTCATAACTTTTTTAACCGATAGGATATTGGATACCATAGTAAATGTTGGCGATTCCACAGAATTTGAAACCCCTTTTCTATACAGCATTTTTGTGGAGTTGCTGGCTTCCATACTGTGTGTGTGTGTGTGTGTGTGTGTGTGTATTATTATGATTTCTTTTTTTTTTAAGACAGAGTCTCACTCTGTTGCCCAGACTGGAGTGCAGTGGCACAATCTCAGCTCACTGCAACCTCCACCTCCTGGCTTTAAGTGATTCTCCTACCTTAGCCTCTTTAGTAGCTGGAATTACAGGTGTGTGTCACTATGCCCAGCTAAATTTTGAATATTTAGAGAAGGCGGGGTTTCACCATGTTGGCCAGGCTGGTTTGGAACTCCTGACCTCAGGTGATCTACCCGCCTCTGCCTCCCAGAGTGCTGGGATGACAGGCGTGAGCCACCGCTCCCAGTCACTGCCATAATATTTGACACAGAAGTCTATCTTTATTTAACTCTCTAGTGTCTAGTCCCAGGATCCAAAGTCTAATCTATTGGCCAGTTGATGCTTCTAGAAAATTGCTGTGAGGATTGGCTGTTAATGACCCTACTGTATATAAGTGCGCATCTTGTTTCTGAGGCAGTGCAGTGTGTTGGCATTATAATCATGTTTGACCGAGTTTGAGTGGCATTCTTTTTTTGTTTGTTTGAGCATGTGACTGAGCAGCAGCTGCCAAAAGCGAGAGCGCCGACTGCACAGGTAGGAGCCTGAGCTTCAGCTTGAAATGGATGTTTTCATTTTAACCAACATTACTGGTCTCAGGGTAAATGCAAATTTTTTCATAGCCCCAAATACTGTGCTACTACTCTAACTTTCTATATTAAACTTTTAAAAGTGAAATCTGAAATAATTAAATTTCAGGGTTGCAATCACTAAAGAATTAATGCAAACACATATTTAATTTTTTTCTTTACTAAAATTTCTCTTTCCTAATTTGAAATCACGTTTAGCATGGCAATATTTGTGATGATAAAAAAAACTTCTTAAGTAAAAACATAATTTTGGGAGGAGTTTTCTTTTTTAAAATTATTCAAGATAACTTCCGTTTTCATTTTGGTCATTTAACGTACTGTTTAATGTTCTCAGAGAACAATCTTTCAGAAATAAATATTGATGCCTGTCACTTTGCACAGGTCAAAATGAGTTATGTACTTTTGAAGGCAAATTGAACCATTTGAGACCCCACCCTTTCCACCTACGTTGTCTAAAAAATGAATCTTAAACTTAAGTCAGTAGCATTTCAAATGATATATTTTCCTTTATGGAAGACCCTCTTCACACTTATGGAAGAAAACAGGTTAAAATAGAGTGGGAAGGGAGGAAAGACAGAGCAATGGATGAAATATAGTATTTGTAATATTTATTTAAAATCTCATATTGAACGTTTCCTAGCAAAATGTTGAGTGGTTGCTGTACAGATAGTGGTTCTCAGCCAGAAAACTTTATGGAATTCCTCAACTAAATAATTTCTCATGCTTTCTTTCCTGTGTGATTGATATATTGGAATTTCAAATTAATTTTCAATATAATTTTTTAAATTTGACTGTATTTGTTGATAATTGCTTTGTGTTTGGGGAAAAAAGGCCGCAGGCACTTTAGTGAAGATTATTTATTGAGTTATGATTATCTTTATGTGTTTAGAAGTAAAACATGTCATAGATAAATGAAATAACAACACTGAGAGAGAGAGTTACCTAAATCCACCCAAATGAAGATTGGCAAATTGTTTATGTTCCCTACAACTCACCTAACTTATAAAACCTTAATTCAATATTTTTAAAAGAGTCATTATAAATCTAATATGCTGACCTAATATTGTGAGTGTGTATCACTTTCCAGAAGTATAGAAGGATAAATGATATTCAGACATGATTTTTTTTTCTTTTTTCTTTTTTGAGACAGTCTTGCTCTATTGCCAGGCTGAAGTCTGCAACTTCCACCTCCCGGGTTCAAGCAATTCTCCTGCCTCAGCCTTCCAAGTAGCTGGGACTACAGTTGCCCACCACCATGCCCAGCTAATTTTTGTATTTTTTAGTAGAAATGGGGTTTCACCATCTTGGCCAACTTGGTCTCAATCTTCTGACCTCGTGATCTGCCTGCCTCGGCCTCTCAAAGTGTTGAGATTACAGGCATGAGCCACCACACCTGGCCAAGACATGCTTTAAAAAGTATGTTTGCAAATGGTAGACAATTTATAAAAAGAAAAAAACATCACCTTTATTCTTCATAATTAACATTATTTCATTTGTAAAGCACCAACTTGGTTTTTTAAAAAGTAGACGTTGACCATTATAAGAGAATATGATAGAATGGACCATATGGTACCAATGGAGGATCTCAATATTTATCTTCTAAAAATCTGTTTGTTTTTCCTTCCCACTTCTTATTCACAAAACACAAAACATACTAGTGCTAAAACATTAAATTATTTTTCTCTCCTGAAGTCCAGAGTTATCATCCCAAATTTATGTTCTAAAAATCTGCTCGTTTTTCCTTCCTACTTCTTATTCATAAAATACAAAACATACTAGTGCTAAAACATTAAGTTATTTTTCTCTCTTGAAGTCCAGAGTTATCATCCCAAAGCCCATGTGGTCATCACTTGTCATAATGTTCCATGCCAATCTGGAATAAAATGTGGGGAATGGGTGTTCCATTAAAAACGATTATTCACTTATAAAGCCTTACATTACATATTTGACCATACAATTCACCCTGTCTTCAACCAGAGTAGTATAAAAAAATAAATTATTGAAATTTCAACTCCAAGGGAAATTCAGCATTAATGATTTTTTTTAAAGAAAACAATGTAGGAGATAAAATTGAATATATTTATTTTGCAAATGTAATTTCCCATTAACAAAGAAATGTATAGAGAACGTTTCATTTGCAGCTGCCTAACAGATGGGGTAATTGACTAGTAAATGCCTCACACCCTTTTAAAGTAGTCTCTCTAGGCCAGGAGCCGTGGCTCATGCCTGTAATTCCAGAGGTTTGGGAGGCCCAGAAGAGAGGATCACTTGAGGCCAGGCGTTCTGGGCATGGTGGCATGCACCTATAGACCTAGCTACTCAGGAGGTTGTGGTGACAGGATCACTTGAGTTGAGGAGTTCGAGGCCATAGTGAGCTACAACTGTGCCACTGTACTCCAGTCTGGGCAATGCAATGAGACCCTGCCTCTTAAAAAAAAAAAAAAAAAAAAAAAAACCTCTACAGTACTAGCATGGTTACATTATCAACAAACATGAATGCTTCTCAAAATCTGGCCAATGGAAATAATAATGTTTCATATGTTTTCATTATCCTATGACTAAAAACAGTTCACAAGCAGAAGTTTATTTCCAAGAAAATTCAGTGTCATTGATATATACTGTAACCATTACCAGAATATATCAGTTTTTAGATATAAGGACATCAAAGGCACTCCCATTCCCCATGACCCAAAGAAATTTAAACTTATCCAGATACAGATGATAATACATAAATATTTTTGTGGGAAAACTTTTTGCTTTACCATGCTGCTTATATGTCTAGATAAATTAATGTCTATTCAAACTAAACACATCATACAGCACCTTTTCTTTTATATCTTGAAAAGCATACATGAGCAAGAGTGGAAGAAAAAATGGTTGATTAGAAAAGCCCACAGTCTTTCAGATTCTCTTTGATGATTATATCTGTAACTGCATCAAACACAAACTTGACATTTTGGGTATCAGTAGCACAGGTCATGTGGGAATAAATTTCCTTATCTTCTTTTTTTAAATTCAGGTCTAGAAACTGGTTCTTGATGTAGTTTCCTGCATCTTCAAATGTATTTGGCCCTTGTTAAACAAAATATTTTAAGAGGTAAAGATTAATTACATGTTAAAAAGAATAGGCTATAAATAATATCAGTAAGTTTTAGGATTTTACTTTGATATACTAAGTACTGCAAAATCATAAAGGCAAGGGTCAATTATCAGGGTGCTGGGAACTATGCTTGCCCGGTTGGGAGCTCCCAGTGGCTACAAGGTAAACTTTGTATCAAAAAGCTCACAATAGGCTGGGCACGGTGGCTCAAGCCTGTAATCCCAGCACTTTGGGAGGCCGAGGCGGGTGGATCATTAGGTCAACAGATCGAGACCATCCTGGTCAACATGGTGAAACCCCGTCTCTACTAAAAATTACAAAAAATTAGCTGGGCACTGTGGCACGTGCCTGTAATCCCAGCTACTCAGGAGGCTGAGGCAGGAGAATTGCCTGAACCCAGGAGGCGGAGGTTGCGGTGAGCCGAGATCGCGCCATTGCACCCCAGCCTGGGTAACAAGAGCGAAACTCCGTCTCAAAAAAAAAAAAAAAGCTCACAATACAGTAGAAATGCCAAAATATTAATAAAAAAAGAGTGAGTGATACAAACATAAACCTCAAATACCTTGTGTGTGTTTGTGGGTATGGGCGTGAGTGTTTATACAAGCTAAGAAAGAAAAAGAATGGAAAAGCGAGATGACTAGGGTGCAGAGGAGTTGGTATTTGGGCTGGACGTTGAAAGGTAGCTATAACAGAGAAAAGTAAGTGAAAGCGAGAATTATACCCGTAGACTTGAGGGAAGGGAAGGGAAACAGATCGAGCTTTGAAGGATCTAGTTGGATAAAAATCAAAGATTTTTGTAGAGGAATTGTAGGAAATCAAGTAGAATAGATGCTATGGGCTAGATTATAGACTATTACTTATAAAACAAAGGAGTTAGGATGAGACATAAAAGGCTATAGAGAGGTAGTCTTGACTGATGTGTTATAAGCACTAACACAATGAAGGCTCTGCTTGAGAAAGTTTGGTCCAATAGCAGGTGCACAATGAATCAGCTGAGACAAGGCAGAAATATAATAAGTAGGCTAAAAAATACAGGACAACTAAAAATCATCTGTTAATGGGCTTTAAAATAGAATATGCTTTGTGGGGACTTGACACGGGATGGAGCAGTAGCATAAAGATTTTCTAAAGAAATAAGTCTTTGTTTCCTACTTTCTTGTTACTAGAAGCAAAACTCCATAAGGGACAAGCTTTAAAGCCATATAACCTGGCTAAAATCCAAAACACTGGCAGTACCAAATGCTGGTAAGGGTATGGACTTACAGGAGTTAATTGCTTGTGCAAATACAAAATACTACTGTCACTTTGAAAGGCAATTTGGCAGTTTCTTACAAAGCTAAAGATAGTCTTACTATACAATCTGGCAATCACACTTTTAGGCATTTACCTAGAAACTTACGTCTACACAGAATCCTGCACATGGATGTTTATAGCATGTTTTTCCATAATTTTCAAAAATTGGGAGCAACCAAGATGTCCTTCTGTAGCAGAAAGGATAAACTGTGGTTCGTTTAAGGAACAGAATATTAATTTAAAAATGAAAAAATAGCTATCAATCCATAAAAGACATGGAGGAAATTTAAAAATACATATTGTTAAGTGAAAGAAGACAGTAAGAAAATGCTACAGGTTATATAATTCCAGTTATATTGCATTCTGGAAAGGGCAAAAGGATAGAAACAGTAAAAAGATCAGTGGTTGCCAGGAGTGTGGGGAGGGAGGAAGCATGATTGGGGGACACGGGATTTTTAGGGCAGTGAAGCTGTTCTGTATAATACCGTAATGGTGGATACATGACCTGCATTTGTCAAAACGCACAGAACTATGCGACATAAAGAGTGAACCCTAATTAAATGATGGACTTGGCCGGGTGCTGCAGCTCGCACCTATAATCCCAACTATGCTGGTAACTCTGAGGAGGGTGGATCACCTGAGGTCAGGAATTCAAGACCAGCCTGACCAACATGGTGAAATCCCATCTCTACTAAAAATACAAAAATCAGCTAGTTGTGGTGGCACAGGCCTGTAATCCCAGCTACTCGGGAGGCTGAGACAGGAGAAAAGCTTGAACTTAGTAGGTGAAGGCTGCAGTGAGCCGAGATCACACCACTGCACTCCAGCTTAGGTGACAAAGTTAGACTCCTCAAAAAAAAAAAAAAAAAAAAAAGTACATGGGAACCCTTCATACTTTCTGTTGAAATATTTGTCTATAAACTAAAAACTGCTCTAAGATATAAATTCTATTATATATAAAATGTAAAACCTTTAATGAGTTTATATTTAATTAGTAATATTCAATATATGTGAATATTATTTGTAAAATGCAAAATGTATTTAGTCACACGATAAATGTGTGATATATTATAGATATTTATAATTACAGAAAAAAGATACAAGCCCTGATTGTAGACTGACCAACATATGTATCTGTTTTGACAGGATGCCTTGCTCCTAGTAACATCGGGTAACCTTACGTACCTAAGTGGTGAAACTGGATTTGTATTTTTGTTTAAATCATAAATATGGCTGGGTGACATGGCTCAGACTTATAATCCCAGCACTTTGGGAGGCTAAGGTGGACAGATCACTTGAGGTCAGGAGTTCGAGACCAGCCTGGCAAACATAGTGAAACCCCACTGCAACTGAAAATATAACAATTAACTGGGTGTGGTGGCATGTGCCAGTGGTTCCAGCTACTTGGGAGTCTGAGACAGGAGAATCGTTTGAACCCGGAAGGCAAAGGCTGCAGCCTGGGCAACAGAGGGAGGCCCCATCTCAAAAAAATAAAATAAATATTTTTTTCTTATATAATTTTATTACCAAGAGAGCATGCAACTATTTACAAACAACAACAACAAAAAATTCTTTCTGAAGGAGAAACAGTCATCCTGTGGAATGTCACATTTACAATGTCTGACTAACAAGATCAACACTAAAATCCTGGATCCAAGAAAACCAGAAAAAAATGAAGATGTCATTATTCATTCCCAAATTCATTCATGCTTTGTCTCTAGAAACAAGTCAGACATTGAAGAGCCTCTGAGATCTACTATAGCATTATAAGAGTTCGGTAGGAAGTACATTAAAAATGCCAATTTGGAATAACATTTGCATTCCTGTTATGATTTGAAGGCAGTTCAGTTTGCAATGTCATTTGACACATTCTATGGAGTAGCAACCCTGGTCCATCTAACCCCTTCAGGTTTATTTCATTAGGGCTTGGCTTTAATGTAGACAATGTAGAGAGGGTTCTTCTATATTTGTCAGTTTTTTTTCAGTTTGGACCTTAAACATGACTCAAAAATGATCATAAGCCTCAGCCTTGTAAGTATTAAATGCCATGATCCAGATAGGAAACATATGTTTATACAGAAATGTATTACTATGGAACTAAAAGAAAAGAATCTTACCAGTGTATTCTGGAAAGCAGATACTAAGATGCACCTTGGTTACTTTTTCTTGAAAGATATCCTTTTTGTTGAGGAACAGGACAATGGAGGTTGTTGAAAAATACTTGTGATTACAGATACTGTTGAACAGGTGAAGGCTTTCATGCATTCTATTCTGTTAGGTATCAGAAATGAGAATGGGTAGGATAATTATCTGCAAAATGTGAATATTGGGCATCATGAACAAGGATCTAAACTAACATCAATCTTTGGAAAACCCTCATGAGTTGGGCAATGTGATATTGTTTCTGAAAAGCACAAAGATTATTTTTAACCCTGGCTTTGTTTAGACTTACCACTTCTTCATCTTCCACGAGAACCATGTCATAGGCACTAAGCGCAGCACAAAATATAATGCATGTAACTCCTTCAAAGCAGTGAATCCACTTCTTTCTCTCAGATCTCTGTCCACCTACATCAAACATCCTTTAAGAAAACATCAAATGAATAATAAATCTTATCAGTATCTTCCAAAATGTGCCTTGAGGTTAGCATTTAGAGTTATAAATGAGTGATCCCATATCTTCAAAAGGTATTCCTTTGACTTTTCTTGATTATAAAATAAAATTTGGTCAAATGCCTATTCAAGGACTATAGAGAGAAAATATACTTTTAAAATGGTCTCCTTGCAAACTAGAGTGAAATAATTTACACACTTTGAGAAACTAGGAAACGTAAGAGAGTTTAGAGTTTTAGTAAAACATTCATTAGCCATAGAAGATTTTGATCAAAATTTAGACCAATTCTCTTGAATGAAAAGAAACTGCAAGAAGATTGGAAGTTACTGTAGCTCTGATGCTATGGTTCTTGCCTATTTTTTTTTAGATTTTCCTACATTCATTTACTCAAACAATTATTGTTTGCATTCTAGGTACTAGACACTGTGCTAGGTCTACTGGTACAGAAATGAAAAGATATGGTCCCTATCTTCAAAGAACCTTCTGTCTTATACAGAAAAAAAACAAGTAAGTTACTATAATATTATGTAAAAAATATTCTAATATGCAGGGAAAATGTGAGCATACAGGAAGCCTTACGTTAGTCTGAGGGATCATGACACTTAGAGAAGGTGTTTGAAAACTCAGCCTTTCTTCTACTTTTGTATTTTGGTAAAAGAGATCATTGTGGACAGAGGACTGAATTTTAAAAACTAGGAGTTAGGCGGCAAAAATTTAGGTTTATATCAAAGAAACTGTTTAATGTTTGCCATCTCAGGGCTTTTGCACTGTCTCTTTCCTTTTCCTGTGACAAAGATTTCTTTCTTCCTTACATGACTGCTTTTTTCTCAACTCTGAAGTCAGCATCAATAAAAAGAAGTCTCCTGGAGCATCCATGTAAATTGCACCTCTCTGTATACTCCATTTGTCTTCTATAATATCATTTTCTTTCCTTTATGGTAATCATCACAATCAATAATTCCAGGTTTAGTTATTGAGTTTTTATATGTGCAATATCTATCATTTTCCTAATACAATAACAGCCTCATGAGGTCAGGAACATTTTCTGTATTAGTAACTGCTGTATTCCTAGTTCCTGGCACTATGCCCAACATATAACAGGCACACAAAAAATGTTTGTTAAATAGATGAATAGATTCCATGTTAAGTGAATAGAGGCAGGAAACACAGCGAACATCCTATGTTCTCTCATGTAAGCAAGTAATTTATAGTTTTGGGAACATAAAGAGTAAGGTAGAAACATTGAGCTATATGGCCTAACAACTATCCATTTATTCACTCATTCATCCTTTATTCCACAAATATTTACTAAATACTTATAATATGCCAGGCACCAAAGATTCAGAAGAAGCTTTTAAACTAATGGTGGTGGTAGTGATTGGTGTGTGTGATTGAAATAGACTTTAGACATCCATATAGAAGATCTGATATGGATTCAAATATCCTATATAGATACCTGAAAGAGACCTTACATATCCATATAGGAATCTGATATGGATTCAGATATCCTGTGTAGATACCTGGAAATAGACTTAATATGAAATATCTACATGAAAATAGACTTCAGATATCCATATAGGAAGTGTAGGGAGTGGGTTGTAATTTGAAATGAAGTGATCAGAAACTGTAGAAGATGACAGATTTGTAAAAACCTAAGGAGATGAGGGGTTGAGGCAACTGGATATCTGGAGCAAACAATATTATAGGCACAGGTGACAGAGGAAACAGCAAGAGCAAAGGACTTCAGCTGGGAGCTGCACATATCAGCCAGCAGTGGATTTACTGGTCCTTTCTTGTTACATGAGAAATACAGATTTCATATTGCAGACAATAGAGGACTTTGGGTGATTTTTGTGTAGGGAATTGACATTTTTTGTCTGTCTATTGTTGTTACAGATCACTTCTATTGTTGTTACAGATCTGAGTCCGAAAGATGGACTTAATGAGGAAGAGATTAGAAGCAAAGAAATAAACTATGGGGCTATCATAATAGTTTAAACCCAAGGTATTAAGTACCAAAAAGCATCCAAGTTTTACAGACTTCAATGGTAATAGTTATACGTGGAGTAATAAATGTCAGCCGGTCTGCTTATTGAAAATAATCAAAAGTATAATATATTTTATATTTCACATATGAACCAAGTAAACATATATAGAACTAATATTCCTCAAATAATGTACCAATGCAAAATTGCTCCATTAAGCAGTAGATTAAAAGGTAGATTCTCACAGTATTGAAAATAATGGTTAAGAGTTCAGTAGTTAATGGTGTGGAAATTGAAATTTGGTGTTTATAAAGAATATTATATGTGCTTCTAATTACCAAATTGCAGTTTCAGGCATGTAAAATAAATGGAGGAAGGGGATCAAATTTTGGCTTTCAGGTTATACTATGTGAAAATTAACCAGTACATTTAATTTTTTAAAAAATTAAACAACATTCTCAAGGAAACAAGGATTACAAATATGCATTCAGACATTTAAATTGTTCAACAACTGTTTTGTTGATTCATAAAAACAACCTTAGTTTTATTCAGAATTTGTAAACTGGAGTTTTATCTATTTCTTTGTTGAAATTACTTTTAAAGTATAAATTACATTTAAACTATAAAATGTGATGGAAATGGAAATAGCTGAGATCATGACTTTCATGTTCTCCTTAGTTTTCCACATCCCCAGTTGTATTAATCTTAATTTAACACAGCTAATAAGAGTTTACTATTTGCTGGGCATATAAGCACCTTACAGTGATTAACTCATTTAAACCTCTTCAGGAACTGACAAGGTAGGTACATTTAGCATTCTTATTTTTTCAGATGAACCCTTAAGCAAATTGGCTAAGACTTATTATTTCAACTAATATTTGTTGAGACTGCTATGCATCTGGCACCATGATAGGAACCATAGGTTCTGTGGGTATGATAGTTATGGCTGTGAAAGTTGTTAACTTGCTAAACCTAAGTCTATTTACTTACAACAGGTGCACAACTAGCGCTGGTGCCTTCAGTTAGCTCTCAGACCCTCACAAGCGGACTGAAATTGTCTTCACTGTGGAGTTTATCCTTCTCCTCCCAGGTCAGGCAGTACTTTTATGTTGTCAGACAGGTCACTGAGCAAAAGCTTTAATCTCCCTCCTTCTGGGAGGTTTTGTTCTTTTCTTTTAATGAAGATAGTCAGTTATCACCTTTCAGATGTACATATATGCTCCATTTGGTCATATATGAATATATTGTGGATCATTTGTCGGTAAGGAAATGTGATGCTGTGATTGAACAATGATGCTTAACTTGTGGATTTTGGTGAACTGAAGGTGGAGTATACAGTACTAGGTTTAAACTCCTGGTGGACTTTTCACACTGAAACCACCCTTCTTAACCCCACCCACTGGATTTTTCATTAGTCTGGATTTCTGTAGTCTTAATTTCTTTCACTCTTAATCCCTACCTCAGGGGAAAAATCCCCTTTCCATTGCTTAATGGAAAACCAGTCATGGAGCCAGGACAAAGGCTAATGGAATGTTTGTGCTAACGGAGCCCCATGTGCAATTGCCACAGCAGTGACGGTAGTGCTGTGGGAATCAAATTGTGGGAGGCTTACCTCAGGTCAGCCTTCTCCACTCAGCAGAACTTGCGTTAGTCCTGTCAACCTTTGCTTGTAGTCTCTTTTTCTCTGCTTTTATGCCAAATTATGCCACTTTCTTTCTTTCTGATGGATATTTTATTCTTTTAGTCACATTTTCAATTCCATTATATATTCAGTTAGAATCTATTCACATCTTAAAAGTTTGGGACACTCATCTTTTTAAGGTGACTTCGCAATTGCTCAGATTTCCTGCATAGTGAGCAAGTATTTTACCTCAGAGAAAACCATCTTATTTCTCGCATGTTAATAGTTTCATTTTTTTGTTTTTTGGTGTGTGTGGGGTTAATGATAAAAATTATAATAGGAATTATTAAGATATGGGAACTCTAACTTGTGGGTTCTATGGGGGACATAAACTCCCCAGGACGAGGGGAAAAAAGAAACCTTGTATATTTCCTACTTATTTATTTTCTACAGCATAATGTTCTCAAATGGGTTTTTCCCAAATCGGAAACATCTGAAGAATCTCTGAGATGAAAATCAGAGTAACAGCAAACTCACTGGCTATGTCTTAACTTTCTCTGATGACTCAACTTCTTTGCAGCTGACTAACAATGTGTTAACAGGTGTAAGAGATAGCTGTTCTCCTCTTCTGATAAATATGTACAACTGTGATAAATGAAAATTATGGGTTTAATACTTTACAGTTGAATAAAAGTCATATCGGAATTGTGTGCTTTCCCTGAAAAATGAATTCAAATCCATGGTTTTATTCGTTCCTCGTAACAGTTCTTCAAAGGGAAAATAATATTTACCCATTTCTTTACCAAAGTGAAGAAACTGGCCTTTGAGAAGCTAAGGTTGTTTGTTCCTAAACTCACAGTTAGTAAATGATAGAGCTTATGTAATATGACCCATAGCCCATGCTCTTTCGGCATATCATGCAGCTTCTAATAAACGTGTTTTAATTGGTTTAGCTTTCTCCCAAGGAAGAGAGGACAAAGATTGCTCAGTCTTAGCATTCTGAATCAATAAAATGGATTCTGAAAGTCTATCTTAGGTTGAAGGCTTATAATCTTCTCATTTTATGACTTGTTTGATAAACAATATTTGTGTGTGTGTGCAGATTGACGTAGGAGCCATAGGTCCAGGGAGCATTGAACATTTCTCTAATGCCATCTGCTATTATTGAACTGAAATGCTCATTAGCAAATCAGACCAATAGTCAGAGTTTTGTTTCTGTATTGATTCTCTTGGAAACTATTTTAGCTCTAAGAATAAGTTACATTTGTTTTGCTAATATTGTAGTCATTTATTTTTCATGCATCTCTTTTCAATTTTAGCTTTCCCCTACATTTTAATTTACTCCTTATTTTATGGAGTTGT